AGAAACCCCCCCTTTCGCCAGACTGCACTATCGAATCGGTGGGGTATCGAATGTTTTCCGTTCTGGGTCCGCTTTCGACTGTCTGTCGTTTGTGTGCGGGTCCTGTCCTCTAGCGCGTGTGTGGGCGGTTTTTCGATAGTCCGGAATGTGGGCTATAGAAGAGAAGGCAATTGCAGGGGACGTGCACATTTCGTTCGATAGGGCTATCGAATTCCGATGTCTGACACCTATCGAAGGATTTCAAAGCTGTAACTTTCGATAGGCTGTGTGGCTATGGGAAACTCACGAAAATTCATGTTTCTATAGTGGTGTGGCAAGGCCCTAAGTCTATCCGATTGTGGGGAAAAGACATTGCCAGTCTATCCGATTCTGGGAAAAACACATTGCGCGAAACAGAGCAGACAGCAGCGAAATTCAAAATGCAATTTTTTTTTTATTATTATTATTTTTTTATTTTTTTTTTTTCAGTCAGTCAGAACCGAAAAAAAAGCAGATGAAAAAAAAAAAGAAAAAAAAAAAAAAGAAAAAAAAAAGAAAAAGAAGAGCAGAAGGCAATCCCATAACTGCATGTGTGGAAGGCGTCGGGCTGTGCAGACAGCAGCGGAATTCAATTCAGTAAGAGCCGATAAAGGAGCAGACGGCAATCCCATAGCTGCATGTGTGGAAGGCGTTGGTTGGAAGTTTCCTGCCTCTGGTTGAAGACAACCGATTGGCGGTCGCCGGGCTAGAAGAGCAGCGCACTACAAGACTGGACGAACGTTGTCCCCTACGAGGAGCAACTTTTCACTTTCAACAATTTTTTGTTCTGGTTACAAAGAAGAGCAGGAGTAGCGAGTTAAAATATAATATAAGGGCGTCATAATTCAATTGAGAGAAGGGTATACCTTATACCTTAGTTGTTGTTGTTTTTTAATTGAAGGCCGACTGGTCGTTCGTTAGTTTTTCGAGATTGCCTTCTGTTCTAATGGGTCCGATAGGCTTTTACTCTAGGCGGCCGACTGGTCGTTCGTGTCAACTCTTGCGGGAGGGGGGCATCTCTCACATACACAAACGATGTGACTCACCACTTATCACCATCACTTCTATAAAAGAAGAGCAGCTAAGTGAATGTGCACATCTAGCTCCCCACAGCTGAGGTTACAGGATGGCGCTGGGCCGCTGGCGCTACCCATCCCAGCATGAGCCCGACGTCCTCCACCGTGCAAGAACGGATTCGAACTGGCGTCCTTAGCCTCAAGAGCCAGCTATCTTAATCACTACAGCCAGGACACGGTGTTCAAAAGGGGCAGGGGTAGGGCTTGGTTCAGGGAGTGGGACCGAGGCCTGTTGGCCCCTGTTGATTGACATCCCATATGTGATCTTTGTGACGCCTTGGGCACTGGGCCCTTATAATAAACTGACAGTCATTCAAAAAAAAAGAAAAAAAGGGGAATCATACCTGTCGTGATATCCACCCCACCCCTGCAAGGCTGTAGTGTCCAACTCAACACACACCCCACACAACTCCACACAGACACGGCAATTCTTGCCCACCTCACTCTCGCCAATCAGCACAAATCCTTACCAAAGCATGGGGTGGACTTATGGATATGCTCCATCCGCTGCAAACTGATGCTGATAGGACGGTCAGACAAGTGCAAGGCAAGACTGGAATAACAGGATGGAAAGAGGAAGGTACCAGGTACCAGTAAGAAGAGTAGGTCGACTTGGGAGTGGGAAGGGAGAGAAGAAAGAAAGAGAGTCTCAAGATTGAAGAAGAAGGGAGAAAATAGGGGCCCACTGGACGAGGGTCAAACAGGGACTACAAACCGGGAATTGGGCCCGGAGCACAAGGCCCAAATTATGATACATACTGGGAACTTGAAGTGGGCCCAGCGTCCCGTACAAAAATGCAGGCAGGCCAAACCGTGCAGAGAATAAGCGAGGCTATTCGTCCAGGCCTTTTTTTTTTTTTTTTTTTTTTTTTTGTGGGTCCATTCTTCTGTTTATCCAAAAACAGCTCAGCTATAACGGACGGTCAAAACGAAAAGGGGGAAAAACTTAAAAAAAGAGGAGAAAAGTTTTTTCAAAGTCGAGATCGGTTCACAGCCAAAGGCTCTGTAGGCCATCACAGGCGAATAATGCTAAAAACATGACCAGCTCCAATGTACGAGGCTATACATTACGAAAAAACGCACTTCAAAAAAAAAAAAAAAAAAAACATAACCAGCTCCAACGTACGAGGCTATACATTAAGAAAAAACGCACTTCCAAAAAAAAAAAAAAACAGACTTCCATGACGAAACAGAGATACCTAAACCTCTATAGCCCATAACTGAAATCAGAGTCTGCAAAAAACAAAAGCACACACACAGACTTCCATGACGAAACAGAAATACCTAAACCTCTATAGCCCATAACTGAAATCAAGAGTCAGTCTCAGTCAGAGGCCGGTAGCTGAAAACGACCTATACCCAACACGTACGCATATGACATTGTACATGTCGACCAAAGCTCTCTCTCTCCAGTCCATCGGACAACAGAACGGCCAGATGCAATGCTTGAGGAAACAGAGGTGTTTTTACCAGACTGCAGTAACGGAGTTCCTCAGTGCAGCAAGAATGTGAGCAGCACTGAGGTAATAAAAATAAAAAAAAATAAAAAAACCACGGTGAAAGGGGGAAACAGAAAAGCAACGACTCTCAAACCAAACGAAACGATGAGAATCACTGAGATAAAAAAAGAAGCTAAGCTCGGTGAAATGATGACTACCCTTTGGACAAAAAACAGAGAAAGGAAAAAAAAAAAGACCACTATTCTGTGTCCCCCCCCTCCTCCTCCTTTTTTCTCTTTTTCTTTAACATGGATCAGATATCAATTGAAAATGATCAGCGGTATGTTCTGCTTCGTAAATGGTAAGGAGTCTAAGGACGTTAGATACCCGTACTACGCGTCTGCACAGAGACTCCACCCGAATACAACGTACGAATCGGTACTATCATTGTTGCCGTATCTAGATTCTAGATTCGAGATTCTAGACTGAGAGTTGCCCCAAACACAGTCATAATGACCGAACGTTCTAGTCGGGTGAAGACGGGTAGAAATGACCGAACACTGCGTGGTTGCAGTCAGGTGAAGACGGGTAGCAATGACCGAACACTGCGTGGTTGTAGTCGGGTGAAGACGGGTAGTGATGACCGAACACTGCGTGGTTGTGGTCGGGTGATCCGGGGTGAAGACGTGTAGTAGTCCGAACTGTGTGTGTCCCACGTCGCTTTGCTGCGCACTGCAGTACAATGACTACAAAAATGTCTGAGGATGTCGGCTTGCTGCTGCATGTCTGTGGTTGAGTTGCTGACTAGAGCACAAAAAGTGGATGGAGAGAGGGGAAGTGCAAAACGAGAAAGAGAAGAGAAAGCAGACGAGACTCAGGAGAGGATGCTCCCAGTATGTTCCTCTGTGTGTGTCCAAGTGAAGAAGGAAAAAGGAAAAGAACTTGATAAAAAAACAAAAAACTACGAGATGTGAGAGAGGTCGGTGGGATTCTAGAAAGAAAAACGAGGAAAAAGTAGGAGAAGTACAACCAACTACCCACATTATAGGCCCACCATGTCACCTTCGGGGGCCTAAGTCGATATCTACAATCCCAGGAACAACCTGCTAGGAGGCCTAAGCCTCTATGTCTATCCACTCTACTCTGTGCAGGGAGCAGTAACCCACTACCCACACCGCAACCGACCTCTTTCCCCATCTCTCTCTCTCTCTCTCCACCTCCCACCACGTCTACCCCCCTTCCTCCTTTCCCCACGGATGGCAGTACATGATCCGAGGAGACTGCAGAGGCTCCTAAACCCCAGCAAGGGATGGCAGGTGAAGTAACCAAAACTGTGAGATGGGGCTGGATACTCTGAACGCTGCATAATAATATGATAATGTATGATATGATAATATACGAGGTCCGTGCGTTGAGTGAAGCACAAAATTGAACAAAGAGGGGGAAAAAACTGGATGCCGGTTGGAAACGCCTGAAAAGAAGAGAAGAGAAGAGAAGAGAAGAGAAGAGAAAGCAAAGGCTGCTCACAAAGCCTCACAGTATTTTACTGTGTTTGAACAACCAGAAGGAAAAAGAAAGAGAACGTGGGCACTAAGTAATAGGCTCTCACGACCTCCTCTAGTGGGCCCAGGCGGCAAAGCCCTCTCTCAACAAAAAAAAAAAGAAAAATAATAATAATAAAAGGATCTAGAACGAAGAAGAGCGAAGGAGCAAAAGTGGGTAAAGTACAAGACGTTGGGGATTCATTTTTCTTTTTTCTTTTTCTTTTCCCTAAGTCAAAACTCACGGCATAGTCAGAATCGAACTACTCCGAGTCTGACTGACTTTGACCTAAGGCTTTGACTGACTTTGACCTAAGGCTTTGACTGACTTTGACCTAAGGCTTTGACTGACTTTGACCTAAGGCCTTGTCAGCCACGAGACTATGTCCCGAAGCAAGTGTTCCCTCCCTTAGAGATACGCCGGTGTAGTAGCTCGTCCACCCACTGCACCCAGCACCAATGCTGCACCATAGCGGGAGGTCTCAATAGCCCAGAAAGACCAACAGCAGGATACGAAAAATGCTATTCTGCATGCATTTTGACATCAGACACGACCGGATTCCGTCCCACAACAAGTAATATGCCTGCTCTACGGAATATCCCGCCCTCGTAGTACATCTTCCATCGAGCTCGAGCTCCATGGCACGATGTCCGTCTCACTTGCGCGGATTTCCCCAGTGTTTCACACCGTAGATCACGAACATCGGCGGCCAATGACAAGGTAGGATTGAATTCACTATAGATTTTTGGGCCATTTTGGGCCCATTTTGGAGCCAAATGCATCTAAAGGGGCATGCCTTAACTTACGACGTGAGTTCATTTCTGGACCTGTTGCTCCTCAGACCGAGGGCAAGCGATGTTGGCGCAGCCTTCCAAAACCCCCTCCTCGTCAAGTGCTTACCACCGAATGAATGCATCCCAGCAAGCTACCAAAATAACATTGATTAAGTACCTCGCCGTCATATCACTCCCCGGGAGAAGTTTTTTTTTTTTTTTTTTTTTACTCCCCTGAAGAAGATACTATGTTATCCCTCCCGTAAAAACGCTCCCCCCGCAGTTCATCCTCCCCTTTCCAGCGACCCCTAACGTCCCCCTGCAGTTCGTCCTACCCTCTCCATCCATCGAGGCCTACCATTATACCATGCCATCTTCCCACGCGAGCCCACGGGCGTAAGGCATGATCATGCCCCCCCTTTCACATGCATGTGGACCCCCAAAAAATGGCCCAAAAATTCCCAAATAACCCAATGCATGCATTATGATAATATGATCTGCGCGTTCGCCCAGCCCACCACTCCTTTCTCCTTTCCTTTACCATGATGTCACAACAACCAGGAGACCACGGCTTTCGCCACCGACCTCAGGATCCCGTTTCGTTTCTCCTGAGGAGCCTTCTCGTGGCCGCCGCTACAACCATCTTCGGGGTAGCCTTCTCTGCAATCACCGCCCCCACCGGTCCTTGGGTACGGGCGACCATCGTCGTATGCGGTCATCTTGAACGACTGCAGCGAGTCGAGACCTCCGGACGGCGGGATCCCGTCAAGGCTTGCCGAGATCCCGTCAACCCTTACCGCTGCATCCATTGCTGCACGGCTCCAGCCGTAACCATTGCCGTTTCCTGCTGCATCCCCCCCAACGGCGTAACCGTTGCGGCTACAGATGGCCATGCCATTATCATTATCAGACCTGCTGCCATCACCAAAGGCAAGCAAATGATGATCATACAGATGTGCATCATGTGATGAGGACGGGGGGAAGCCAAATTCAGATGCCGAAACTCGTCCAGGAGGACCTCCCCTCCTTGCTTGGGCAGGATCATGCCTATTCATCAGCTGAGCTTGTCGAAAATCCAGATCTGACAAAAGCCCGTGAGCGATTGCTGGCGCCACCTCCAGCTGCTGGCCACGAAGAAGGCCTTGGTAGTGGTGGTACTGCTGCTGCTGCTGCTGCTGCTGCTGCTGGCCATGGATTCTTCCACTTTGCCCGAAGGAGTACTTAGTAGTGCCACCCCGTTGCTGCTGAGTAGAAGTCGCTGCTGAAGAAAAGAATGGAAATCGCTTCGGAGTCCTGACCGTGGTCTCCGAGTACGTGAAGTGTGAGGCCTGCACGGCTCTGTTCATCTCCTCCATCATCTGTTTAATCATCTTCCCATTGATTTCTAGCTGGAAGAGATTCTGCACCATCTGCTGGATGTCTTCCGGTGAGGCGGAAGAGGCAGCCAACCCGGAAGAGGCTGGTGAAGCGGAGGAGGAGTCGGCATCTGCACCCGTCTCGTTGATGATCTTCATCTCGCACTCGTATGTGTCCCGCATCCGGACGAGCCCGTTGAGGATCTCCGCATTGTTTGCCCCTTCGAGCTTCAGATTTCTCTCCTCCTCTATCAAATGATTGAGGTAGTCGAGAAGAGCATCGTTGTACGCGGTGATGGCATTGCACTTCAAAAAGCGTGCAAACTTCGCGCTGGTCTTGGATATCACCCTTTCCTCCTCCTGCAGCTGGGCAGCTCGCCGTTTCATGATCTCCACAGTCCGCAGCAACGCCTCTTTCGCCTGCTCCTTCGTCTTGATCTGCTCAGCCACCCCCTTGTCCTGGATGTTTATGGTCACGTGTCGCGTCTCCGTCAGCACATGCATGTGCGCGTCCCAATTGCAGCCGCAGTGCCTGCATGTCCCCGTCGGATCCATGGCTCCGCAGTTCTTCAAGTCCGTGTTATTCACTATGTTGACCTCCACATTCTCCAAGTAGCAGGGGCGGTGGCATCTGGTCTTGTAGTCGTATTTGGTCTGATTGCAGGACACCACGGTGTCGCGACACCTGGGAGAAGTGCACACCGTGTGAGGCTGCGTCAGGGCCACGTACTCCAGATCTACTGCAGGAACCATCAGCTGCTTTTTCAGATCGGAGATGTGCTTGGCCGAGAAATCGATGTCCTTCATCTTCTCGTTCATGATCTTAAGATTCAGCTGAATGTTCCGTGTAGTGTCTCCAAGAGGCTTCGATAGCCGAAGGATGAGTCTGCGTGCCTCGTTCACAGAAACCGTGTCCTGTACTTTGTGCGGAGCACGTGTGGCCACGTAATCCATCAGCCTCCGGCACTCGTTAACAGACACAGTCCAGCTCTGCGAAAAGTCGGCCCTCTGATCCTTTTCGAACTCCAGCCCTTGTTTCAGGGCGGCCATGAAGCGGAAGGACTCGTTGTCCAGGCAGAAGATGGTGCTCTTGCTGATGGGAATGTCCACGTAAGGCGGCGCCTCGCAGATCTTCTTCAGCATCGTCCTCAGCGGCGGCATGGTGTCGCCCGGGCGATAAAAGGTGGAGCGCGCGTTGGTGAAGACGAAGGCTATGTTGTCCTTGGCACTCTTGTGAAGATGCGACAGCAACTCCAAGATGCAGAAGCGGAACATCACCGTCAGCCTGGCGTTGTTCGGCTTCAGCAGGATGCAGATGCCATGCAGCTGCGTGTGATACCCGAGGAAATGTAGAATGTTGTCGAAGTTCTTCTTGTCCTGTTCGATTCCACGAGTGTCTCCGATCCCCGGCGTGTCTATCAGACGCACCATGCGATCGCCGTAGTGAAACTTGTACGCCTTGCAGGATTGCGTCGACGACTTCCCTCCTTCTCCCCCTTCGTTCTGATCCTCTTTGCCTATCTTCACGGTGCATTCGTCGAATTCCCCATCTCTGCAGACCGTGAAGGTGGAGGGGATGAGTGTGATGGGATCCTCGAGGGCGTCGTCGAGAGTATCGTGAGTCAAATAGTTAGCGAAGGCGTTGATGAAGGTGGACTTACCGACCCCAGTTTCCCCCAAGAGCAAAATGTTAAGCTCCTCCTTCTTCTTGAGCGTGTCTAGCTCGGAAGAGAGATCATCCTCGGGACGAAAGCGGAGGTACTTCTCTCCATGCAGGCTATGGCGGCAGCGGTACTCCAAGGAGTCGATGCGACCACGCCCGCAGTCGCAATACCCGTAGCCATCGTAGCCATACTCCACCTTACCTGCACACCTACCGCAATGCCAATCCCTCACAGAGGAAGAACACCGGCCATAGACCGAGCCCGGGCATCGAATCCGAAGAGCTGCACTCTTGTTAGGCCCTCCCACGCTATTCGTCATAGCCACCCCCTTCTCCATCTTGCCGACGTGGAATCGCACCAAGCACAGCTCAGCAATTCTCTCCTCATGCGCCATCACATCAGGGATGATTAACCTACCCTCCTCGAAGAACTGTATGACAGCTCCCGCAGCCTCTGCAGAAAGAAGGCACCCAGTAGTGCCTGTGGCGCCTGCGCCGTGGGGGGGACCACCTGAATTAGACGCATCTCTACGCCCCCCGGAGCTCGGCCCCCCGGCACCAATACTTCGTCTATTATCAGCAGCACTACTCTCCAACACGAGACCGGAGCAGCCTCCTGTCGGCCGTGACGATCTCCGCTCACCAGGTTGTTGCTGATAGACGGCAGTTGCTGCAGTGCTCCCAACCTGTACAACGTAGAAGAAGAGGTGCCTACCCATTTCGCTCCTGCTCGACGACGAGCCTGACAGCAGTGACACGTCATCACCCTTACCCTTCTGCATCTCGAGGCGACGGCGTGACGAGTGTCCAAGTGTTCTTTCCTCGATGCAGCTGATCAAACTGCCGCTGCTTTCCCCTCCCTCTTCTGCTTCTTCTGCTTCTTCTCCTTCTCCTTCTTCTGCTTCTCCTTCTCCTTCTTCTTGTCCTTCTTCTCCTTCTGCTTCTTTTTCTTTGCCGGCGCTGCTGCTGCAATTTGATCTCTTCGCCAGCCGCTTTAGGAGATCGAGGTTTGAGTCCCACGATCTGTCTTGCAGGTTCTGGCAGCTGCCTGCTGCCGCCGGACGATGCACAAGGATGTGCACTGCATCCTGTTTGTGCTTCGACACGATTTCCATCGTCACTTCCTGCTCGTCCTCCTCGTTCACCCTGCATATTAACTCTATTCCCAATCGTTTGAGATCTTTAGCAAGGGTCTCTTTCTCCCTGATGAAAGCCGACATGCGATCCACGAACGCGCGCGCATCTCTGCCGAACTTGTCTGCTATCTCGTCGAGGACCTCATGCCTCCCCCTCTTAGAACGAACGTCGCGGATCGCCCGCCACAGCTCCTCCCCCATCTCTCGCTGCACCTTCTCCACCCCGTCCTTAACTTTTCAGACGAAACCTTTGCGCGCTTCGGAGAAGAGGCCCAAGCTCGTGCAGCTGTCAGCGCGGGCTCGATCCATGCCTCCGGCGAGGAGATCGAGGTTGTCCGCCATGTCCTGCAGCTGTTGAAACACCTCCACACATCGGGATACTCTCGCTTCGTCCAGACTGACCACCACAGCGGCGAGCGGCTTGCCACCGGAAGACCATTCTCGTCGTGCATGCACCAAGCTCCTCACCGGAGATAAGAAGACAGCCACGGGCTGCACCTGTGCCCCGAGATCGGTATCGAGATCGAGATTGTGCCAGCGAATCGTCCAGGCGGACTGCAGGAGAGTCTCCAGCTTATCGAACCCCTCCTGCTCGTCCTGATCTGACAAGATATTATTACCACTGGTAGTATTGGTAAGATCACTGAAGATTCGGACTCTGAATCCCTCCTCTTTGGTAGAATCTCGCCACAATCTTAATATGCTATTGCCCGATTCATCAGGAGACGGCGGAGCAACGCTGAGGGATTCTTCGAGCTCCATGAGACGAGCGTGTAACCGCGCCTTCATCGCCTCCGCTTCTTCGTCACGAATATTTGTCGATCGCAAATCACTGCCGCCGCCATCGCTAAGCCTCTGGCTGCAACTCCAGCTGAGAGATGCCGCTACGGTTACGCCATAGAGGATAGCACTGACGAAGTGGGTAGTGCCCTCCCTTTCCAGCGCTGCGAGATCGAGATTAATGACCCGACGGAGCGAATTAGACCCCGAATCTTTTCTTGAGTACTCGGGATTTAATTGCTCCTTCTTGACGATGACCTGGCAGAGAAGGGTGGCTTTGACGTCAGCCTTCGAGCTGCTGCTGCTGCTACCGGTACTAGGGTCGTCGGCGTTCAGCAGAAAGTCTCCCAAACTGCCCTCCACATGATGAGCTGCGTCCGCTAGGACATCCAGCTGCAGCTGAGGATCGACTCCCAACAGCTTGAAGCGCGCCGTGTAGGAATCATCGAACGTGTGCTCGGCGCGCAATACCCTGTGGTCTCTAGCCAAGACCGGGCAGCAGTTGCCTTGCAAAGAGTTTTCTTCCCAGCGCAGGACTGGCGTCGGGCAGAATGACGCCGTGCGTGCATTGTAGCCATGGCCCACGCAAGCCCTCCGGAGCCCCGCGAGTCCTGCACTTAGCTTTATCGTCATATCATTCTCAGCATTGTTATTATTATTATTACTATTATTATTATTATTATTATTATTATTATTATTAATTACACCCCTACGACCCAATTGACCGCTGACCGTTCTACGCCCCCCCGTGCTCAGAGCTAAAGATAGATCGCCGCCGTGCCCTTCCATAATGATCGAGCGGCACAACTTCTTCTACTTCCGTTGCCTTCAGGGTGTCGATCAATGCCGAGGAGAGAGAGAGAGCTCGCAGTCTGCACCCAACACCTGCAAAAAGAGAGAGAGAGAGAGAGAGAGAGAGAGAGAGAGAGAGAGAGAGAGAGAGAGAGAGAGAGAGAGAGGCTAACCAACTCAGCCACATGGAAAAATGGGCTTTATCCTCACTTGTTCCTCCCATCTTTGTCTTTTCCTTTTCCTTTTAAATTTCTTTTTGTGCTTTTCAAACAATTGGGCTTGCATTGAAATAAAAAAGGGATTAAAAATATAAAAAAAAAAGGGATTATATATGAATAATAAAAGGGGGTGGAAGGGGGCGGTGAGATGAAGGGGGCTGTCCAACTTGCCGCAGATGACAATTTTCAATTAACTACCATCCACGAACAAATTCGGAGTGAAAAAAGTTCAATCACAGCTCAATCACAGCAGGACAACCGCTACGTGGTCGGAAGATGGGTTGGGTGGTCACTGGGCAGGAAAAGGGTTACCGACGTAACGCGAAGTTACCGTAACGAAAATGGACTTTGCCACGTAGCGTCAGGAAAAGGGTCTGTACTTGGCTGTAACGGAAGACCAAGTGCAGAACGGATCAAATCACAGAAAAAACTTACTCGACAAGACAACTTACCAGCATATACATTTATTTATTTATAAATAAATATATACATATATATCGTGTATATATATATATATATAATCTCAATATGTATATGTATATGTATATGTATATAAATATTGACCAGCATATACAGTACCGCTGTTTACGGGGAAATTAGGCGGGAGTGACGAAAGTGAGTTATAATTGCACTATGGGTCAAGATATAAATTAATTTCGAAAGTTGCAGTTCGGGCAATGTATACAACCCAGCTTTCTGGCCAGGTAGGGTGCCTGAAGTGCAATTGCAAAACTGTATCTTGACCATAGTGCAATTATAACTAGTTTTTGTGACTCTACTAGTGAAGTTACCCCTAAATATTGACCAGCATAATATACATTTACTCATTTATGTTTATTTGTAGGTCTTATCCGTTGCGAATTTGGTCATAATTCGTACCAGATCCGTTGGCTTTTGCGAAGACCAAGAGACGAGCAAAACTTCCAAACGGATGTCGCCAAAAGGATCTCGCACCGTCCAAGGTGGTTTCAAGTTTCAACATTCAGCGGCAGCCTCGAGAGATACTAGCGTCTTCACCCGAATATAACGCCCAGTCCCAGTCATTATAGCGGTATTCCGGGCAACTGTCAGCCTAGATACAGCGATAATGACCGGGGGTTCTATTCGGGTGAAGATGGTAGTAGTCAAGCGTATAAAGCTACAGCCCAAGCACATGAAGACAAACAGTACAAATAGGAGGAGGAGGAGGAGAGCGGAGGCGAAAGGAGGGAGAGGGAGGAGGAGGAAGGAGGACGACGAGAAAGGAGGCGAAAGGAGGAGGGAGAGGGAGGAGGAGGAAGGAAGAGGAGGAGGAGGAGGAGGAGGAGGAGGAAGGAGGAGGAGGTAGGAGGAGAAGTTAGGAAGAAGGAGAAAGGAGAGAAAAGAGGAGGAACACGAGCAAGAGGAGAGGAGAAGATAGCATTCGGATGATGAAATGACTATAGGATTTGGATGATGAAAATGAGTAAGGTGGTGCCTTTACACACCATGCTCAGGCGAAGGTAAGCCAGCGAAGACACGTGTACGTCAACAGATAACAGTTAACGGAAGGAGAGAGTATGGAGGCATAGTACGTGATCCATCCAACTGGAAGCAGGCAAGGACGACGGCAGCGAGCACTCATAGCCTCATAGGCTACAGGTCGCCTGCTCACGGAATGAGAGGACGAAAGGGAGGAAGAATAGGGACAAGGTGTCCGGGACCATTGCGACCGAAAATCACGGAGACCGAAAATCATACCCATGGACCTCGAATCCCCAGGGAATCAGATGACTGAGATGAGCACAACGATCTTCAGAAGCTAGTACAGCTACCAACCACCTGAAGAAAAAAGGAGAGAAATGCAACAGCCAGGAGAAGGAAGTAGAAAGTCAACGGCCGGAGCGCATCTAAAGAATTACGCCAAGAATAGGATAACTATGCGGCTATGCCCACAGACCATTCCTTGTTTATTATGGGGGGTGACAGGAGCTAGCGCTCCCCCTCCTAACATCATTGATCCAACCACCTGTCTATACCGCCCAGCCATGAAGCAGGAAGACCGGGAGCTTTTCCGGCTTTGGCAGCAGTTGGATGGCATTGTACCAGATGGAAGTTGCGGATGACCTCGCAGTCGCTGAAGGGATAGCCAGACTGACTCAGCACTGTCAGCACACGACTCAGCAGCGCAACAGAGCAGAGACCAAACTGTGCTTCAAGACGAAGTCATCTTATGTTCTCCAAGGAGCTGAGACAAACTGTTCCTTCGGAGTTTTACCAACTCCTCAGGAGGCTGAACCCACGCGCGCGCGCGAGAGAGAGAGAGAGAGAGAGAGGTGGTAAGTACAAAGGAGGAAAGGTGCGGAGGGCGTGTATTCAGTGGGAGCAAACTTACGCACCTGTTCTTGGTCATGAGCATGACCAGTATGCACAACAGCAATTAGGCAAAAAACCCACGTCAGTCGAAGCACTTCGCTAACGGTAGTGAACTGAGCGGTTGTGTTCTGGCGCCCAGCAGGTATAACCTCACCTCGACGTATGACACCAACGAGAGAGCTGGGAAGTTGGGAACCGACGAGCAAAGGCTGGCTTATGCAGATATAAATATAAGGAATGATCTGGCGATAAAGAAACATCTCATCTCCTACTCTATCTGGCTCGAACTTCAAAGTTCCGCGCGAATCCGCGGGGCCTCGGTGCAAAGCTGCCGATCGTCTCAGAAAGGCAAATCGGGCCTTGCCTTTGATGTTGAACGTTCAGATGAATCGAGATGATGCGCAGGATCTGGTCCACATTGCCCCTGGCTAAGGGTATATTACTCACAGTAGCACTTTCCTGACTGTATGTGACCGCCATTATGGCTGCACGAGGATGCATCTGGCCGCAATCACGTCCATAGCTCGGTGGAAAATGTCCTAATGTGAGCATGCCCTGGCTAAGTTCGTCCGTTGAGGTAGGAACGGGCCATTTCTCTGGCCTTCATGTCGACGAGAAGGGTGGCCAAGTGGGACACAGATGCCATGTCCCACTTGGCCCGATTCATCCTATCTGTTGGCAGTCGATCCTCTATAATAATAATGGCCTGTTAGAAATAGAGAACTCGGGCACGTGGGACTTGGGCCCAGGTCCCGCTAGAGAATCTCGATCAAGTACTTCACTCCATTCTTCCCACGTTTTTTTTTCCAATTACAATGAGGTTGGGCTTAAGTACGGACGAGATTGTTCTTTCTCGTTTCTCTCCATTTCTGGATTCATGCGTGTCATGATGCCATCCTCTCTTTCTTCTTTTTCTTTAGACTCAGCTCTTTCACGTTTGACTTCGCACACCAAAGACGTACATACGTAGGACACAAGGTGATTTTTTATTTATTTATTTTATTCAAGTTTGACTTCGCACACCAAAGAAGTACATACGTAAAAAGGCAGACGAGAAGCCATGGGAAAACGAGGCCAGGGGCCAAGTGCCCCTTGCTACACAAATTCTCAACTTCTGACCGTAGATTTACAATGATCGCATTGATCGGCGGCCAGAAATGAAGAATCAGGGTACGTGGGACTCGGGCCCGGGAACCCTCAACGAACAACCCAGAAATGGAAGAAACGTTACTGGGGTAACTGGGACCATTACCCACAGTCCCAGACTGCTATGGTGCAGGCGTGGGGGTGATGTCCACGGACACAATTGGCCAAAACCAGACCAGCGTCCTGATAAACCCTAAACCCCGAGAATCAGAACTGCCTCGGGCCAGAAAAACCTCACAAACCACCCTCAGGCTGTCATCCCCATTTGGCCCAATGGCCCCATGCTGGTCTTCTCTCTATCGTTCCAGATTCAATTGCAACGGATGTCCCCAAGGACCAGCGATGGACGGTCAAGAACTAACCATGGTTACCACGCAACTCGTTTGTTGTCCTCTTCTCCCTCTCTGCCTACTGTTCATATATATATATAGATCAGTTTTTTTTTTAAAGAAAGAGGGTAGATTACTATATCATGACATTGCCACTGCTTTTCATCGTGGTCGTGGTACGGCCATGAGATTTTCATTTTGGATGCCAGGGACACAGGCCTGCTTTCTGAGATTTTCTCGATTTTTATGCGTGTCATTCTTGCGCAGGGGCCATGCTAATCCTCTCTGTAGCGGAGGACCGTCTGAGATTTTCATTTCGGATGGCCGAAGGACCGTCTGAGATTCTCATTTCGGACGGGAGGGACACACGCCTACAGTCTTCCCTCGAGCACAACGCACACTGTCACTGAAACTGAATGTATACAAACCATCTATCCGGTTCCATACAGCCATAATCAGGGTGCGCTGTGTTGGGAGAAGACGCTACCGGTAGTCTTTTTCTTCTCGGCCCCGAGCCTCCGGCATCTTACGACCTCTAATAAAATAAAATAAAAAGGCCTGAAAGGCTGTCCTGTCCAGACTCGACAGGCGCCACTACCTAACCAGACGGCCGAGTAAAACGCCGGCCTCATTTCACCTGTCAACAACTACAGATATGATGACGGGTCCGCGATCTCCTCGCGGCAGGTGAGCAGATGAGAGGCCTCCCCACTGCATAACATTCTAAATGTCTTGGGGTGTAGAGGCTGGCCAAATGAGTCCATGATGTTCGGTGGGTCCAAATGTGTGCGGTCCACATGGCAGTCCAGGTACGTAGCAAATGTTGGGTAGTGGAGCGAGGCCGCCAGTCTACCACTGGCGGTTAGGTAGGGATATGATGAGCCCGCGATCTACTCGGGCAGATGAGCAGATGGTCTACCACCCGCCTCGGTGGTTGACTTCGTTTTCTGCCCCTTTTTGTTAAATTGAGAGGTTGACTTAGGCTCGTATGGCTAGTTACATCGGCGTACCCTTTTTTTGTTTTTTGTTCGCTCCTTTTTTTTTTTTTTTCCCTTCTTTCTATATTCTTCTCTCAACTTCTGTTTTTGAAAAAAAAAAAAAAAAAATCTGTTTTTGCCTTTCACTACCTACTCCTAAGGCTATCTAGAGGGGACCCCTGCAAGCATAGTTTCCTCTCACTGTGAAGGGGAGATTTCATGTTGCCCCTTGCCCCTAATGTTTAGGGTATAGGGTTGGGGCCGCCAGTGGGGGTCTGGCTAACACAAAGACCGAGACGTGCCAGTAGCTGCGCCTCCCTTTTTCATCCCCACCCCTCATCAAGTAGCAGCAGTGGCTATGGCCAACACTCTCCCACACACCACACACAACACACTCCTTTTTTTTCTTCTTTCTTTTCTTTTTTTTTTTTCTTTTTTTTTGGGGGGGGGAGGAAACTGAGGCCGGGGACTTATATTGCAGCAAAACATTGAACTGAGGCCGAGGTCCTCACAATTCAACCCCGTACCCAAGAGCCTAGCTCAGTGGGTACACTATTGAACTGTTGAAATACAGACCCGTGTTCGAACCTAGATGACTGAACTTGACGAGTGAACCCGAATATTTCTGAATTGCCTGGGCCCGGTCAGCTCAATGATGATATCTCAAGACCGTCGCCTCTTTCAAATTAAAAAAAAAAAAAAAAAAAAAAAATCAAACCGGGGGCGTTGTCCCGCTAGCAAAAAGAGGATAGAATCGAATGCCGGCATCTGGACGTGTTCGTAGGGAGGTGCAGGAAATTGAGATTGAACTGCTTTTCTGCATCTCTGCATAAAACACATCCAGATTCGGGCATTCGATCCAATCCTCTTTGCTAGTGGGACCTCGGGCCTGGGGTATCGTCAGAACCAACTGGAAACCGGGTCCAGCGTCCCATCCCTGCCTCCACAAACTTTTTACTTTTTTTTTTTTTTTTCCAAAGCTATATTATTCTCTCATCTATCTCATTTTTCTTGCTAGTACTCATCTATCTCATCCTCTCACTAGTGTATGTGTAGTACGGGGGAACACCAACCAACCCGGATCTCTCCCCAGCCCACGGGGTAGGTTGGCACCACAGCAGTGGTGCGAGAGCAAGGCTGTACCAGTCCCTCATCACGGTGACCAGGGGTGGGCAGGCATTGCCTATGGGGGAAATCGGCGGTGCTAGCGCCGAGCAATGGCCAGTCACTGCACCTCCCCCTACAGCATTAAGCACAGAAAAGACATGGGGAGGGGGCCTGCATAATCTCAAAAGATCATTACAGGACAAAAACGCTAGGATGGTGTATGTGACGAACCATTTTCCGACCCCGTGCTATCTTTCGTACCCCCTTGAGCCAATACCCCTTTGTGTATCATACCGACCAGACAGAACCCTCGTCCCTTTTCTTGATTTCAGGCACCTTGTTTGGGCCCCCATTTTTCAGAAGTTCTATTGATTCTTGGAATTCTCCTTTTTGTAATGCGGGAAATGCATGGGAAATTACGCGCACCTTAGCGAGCGCGCTGGGAATCGGGCTCGACAGTTAGGAATTACAGAATAAGCGGAGCCCGACGTATCTTTTTTTCTTGCATGAATGTTCTCGAGGTCACAACGGAGAAAACTCTAGGAATTTTGTGAGAATACGGATAGGCATAGGACTTTCTTTTCCTGCGTCGACTTTCGCGCACGGATATGGTGATTTCAATTTTTGAATTGGTGTAGGATATATGCAAGCTGTAACTGTACCGGTGCCTTTTTCTCTTGTTGTCGGCACCGCGCATGCGAGCATCCTCCTCCTTATTTCCCGCGCCATCCTTCCCCCGCACTCTCTCCTCTCTCTTCCCCCTCTTCTCCTTCTCCTATCGCAATTGTTTTTCCCTCTCTGCTTTCTGCGCGCCTGCTTCCTTTTCTTGATCGTCTGAATCTTGGACCCGTCTCGCGCTGCTTTTCGCGCCTCGTCTCTTCTCGCTCATCAACCTTGCCTCACGAAGCCCGGTTGATCCTCCGGTCACCCCGGCTCACCAATCAGACGCGTTGAGTAAGAGGATCTTCCTATTGTGCGACAAATCTGATTGGCCGACTATTGGGTTCTGAAGGATCAACATGGCTTCCCCTGAGCACCCTTCGCTGAACCTTCTCTCCTTACACCTCAATCTCCCCTCGGACTCTTCCCCCATCTACCTCGTTTCTCGCAACTATAAATTCCACAAACGCGCCCGCAAAACTCTCTTATGTTGTCCACTCGCAAGCCAGATTCCGGGAAGCAGTGGCTAGGTGATGCATTTAGTGCGAGTCGAAAAGTCCTATCGGGCTGACCGTAGTCTGGCCGGCTGCGCGCTTGATCGCCACGACGGACTGTGGGATCCGGGCGAGCCGAGTCGAGTCTGCGTCAGCGGGGTAACGATCGCAGTGGCGGAAGTTAGCGCGCGACGACCGGGATCGTCGGTGCGGGTATGAGGATGTGTGATTGGAGTTGAGTGGATGATTGGCCTGGGGCCATATTGGAATTTTACCCCGAATATGCCTTCATTGCGGATCATTTTTCTGGTTTGAGTTCATGGCTGTGAAGCCGAATGTTCTCTTGTCGAATTCTGGTGTTTTCTGTCTCGGCTTTTCTCGTCCCTCCCTCCCATCTCCCTCTCTCTCTCTTTGACTTGAATGGCGATGTGTTGTGGGTTTGTCGCTCTTGTGAACCGAAGCGAACTTTTGTGAGTTCTCGCAGGGAAGAACTTCTTCCAAAACTCTTCCATTAGTTTCCTGGGTAATCCCCAGATGTCGAGGACTTAATCCTCTTGTCTTGTTAACGGTAGATGCGTGTGTACAAATCCCTCGGTTGATTTCTGACCTGTGCACCCTTGTCATTTTCGCACCTTCCACAGTGGATGTATGTATAGAGATGCTCGTCTTTTTGCGTTGGTAAGACTCAGCGCTCGACGGGATTTTGTTCGAGAATGTAAGAGTGTTTAGATTTGTGGTTCCGAATGCACTGCGCATGCCATCTGCCTTATGCTGCATGACATCAACAAACAGTCGGTGAGGCAGTTCTTGTTGATCGGGTCTGTTGAAACTGAGTCGCGGGTTGATCCCTCGGAACTCCAACCCGATGAATGCATGATTGTGTGGGTTTCGTAAACTGTTTCCCTCGCGACCAAAGGAAGAAAGATACTAATTAATTCTTTTTGTGCTTTTTGATGACGTCTCGAGGATTTGTGTAAACCCCGTCTGGTTGATTGACATGTGGACTAACGGTCGTTCCTCGATCGGGCGCCAGCCTTCCGTATTTCCAGCGCCGACGCGCCCCTTCCCCTACAACGAGGAAAGGACACGTGTATACGAGTGGGACGTACGGGAAGTTGTTGCACGCATCGGCGGGCAATATTACTTCCCTCCTGAAAATCGTTGCTCCGGGTTCGTGGATGCGGGCTTTGTCATTATCGATACGCACTTTCCACCCTCCTCAGCATTGTTGCCATGTAATGAGCTTATAGTCATTCCGTGGACGGCAGTGGCGCCCCATTGGCCTCTAACCCTGTGCACTGAGTGTCAGCGTTTCGATCGCTACGAATCGAAGGGCTTCCACTACCGGGTACGGAGTGAAGACGAGCACAAGGAAAGAGCCACGCAGCTGAGGCCATCCACGTCGGACTCGGAACTGACCCACGAGTGACGTCGGGACTTGATACGGAAACGGGATACGCGGAGTGTGCCGAAGCCCTTCCGCTCTAAACGAAGATCCGTAGAGCGGTGGGAAGCTCGACAATACTTTTTGGATTGAATTTGGATTTTTCCTAGGTTACCAGTCGTCCGATGGCCGGACGTCTCGGTTGGACGTCTCCCCCAACCGTCCGGAGAGGGGGTTGCGGGATCCCGGATAACCCCTTTTTGGCATTAAAAAAAAAAAAAGGATGTTCTTGCGCAACACTGGGAGAACACCCAAAAAAAGTTTGGGGTGATTTGGAGCATTTATGGGAAACAAAATGTTTTTGGGGGTTGGGGGGTGGTGTGGGGTGTATGGAAGAGGGGGGGGGGCAAGATCTTGTCGAATGGATACGTTCGACGGGATTGATTGATTGATTGACTGATTGATTGATTGAAGAGGAGATCCCGATGGAGGAGGTCGAGGAGGAGGAGGAGGAGGAGGTCATCCCGATGGAGGAGGAGGAGGAGGAGGACGAGAAGGAGAAGGAGGAGACGGTCTCGATGGAGGAGGAGGGGGAGAAGGAGGAGGAGGAGGAGGCGGACCCGATGGAGGAGGAGGAGGAGGAGGAGGACGTATCGATGGAGGAGGAGGAGGAGGGGGAGGAGGTCCCGATGGAGGAGGTCCCGATGGAGGAGGTCCCGATGGAGGAGGTGTGTGTGGAGGCGGGAGGAGGTGGCGGGCGGAGATAGGCGGATGTAAGCGAAGGCGTGCGGCGAAGGGACTCGTAGGAGGTGGGTGGAGGCAGGAGGTGGCTAGCGGAGTCGGGGAGAGGCAGCTGGAGGACAGCGGGGATGGGTGGAAGTAGCTGGAGGAGTCGTGCAGAGGCGGGAGGAGGAAGTGGCGGGAGGAGGTGGGCGGGGGTAAGAGGAGGAGGGCGCAAGAAGAAGAATACGAAGAAGAAAGACGAAGAGGAAGAAGAAGAAGAAGAAGAAGAAGAAGAAGAAAAAGAAGCAATCAATCAATCAATCAATCAATCAATCAATCAAACAATCAATCAATCAATCAATCAATCAATCGAGCAATCAATCAATCAATCAATCAATCAATCAATCAATCAATCAATCAATCAATCAATCCGTCGTTCTCGACGGATCATTTCGTTCAAGATCCGTTGATGTCGACAGATCATTTCGTTCAAGATCCGTCAATATCGACACATCATGAACGGAATGGTACGTGGACATCGACAGATTGATTGATTGATTGATTGATTGATTGATTGATTGATTGATTGATTGATTGATGGATGGATTTTTTCTTATTTTTATTTTTATTTTTCTTCTTCTTCATTTTCATCTTCATCATCTTCTTCTTCATCTTCTTCTTTTTCTTCTTCTTCTTCTTCTTCTTCTTCTTCTTCTTCTTCTTCTTCTTCTTCTTCTTCTTCTTCCCACCGATAGGCCCTGCCCCGACTTTCCCCC